TATATATATATATATAGCGTAATTGTTAACACTTATTACATTCCTCTGTTGTTGTTACTGATGACTAGCTGCTAGGTTAGTGAATTGAACATTCCATATTTTATACTATTATGACAAGCTGATACTGGGGTCTGTATGTGCGTGTGCATGTGCGTGCGTGCGTACGTGCGTGTGTGTGTGTGATTTCAAGACCAACCTCGTTATAGTTATACATTCCACTGCATTAATCCTCAACGCTGGTGCCAGTCATTGTGCTGTGCGAAAATCGTGTCTATTTTTCATGTTTAATGCAACTACGACATTCGTATTTCTAAATATATTTAACTAATATTATGTAGCAATGATGGGAGGGGAAGGGGGACGCGTCGTTGTGAAGTGTGGTAGAGGGAATAAACATTTACATGTGCGCTCTACTTATTCTTTATAGCGCATGAATATAGTTAGAATATTGATTGAACTCATGGTGAAGTTGGTAGAACATAGCATAGACCTCTGAAGGTATATAGTTGGAGGTTCACATTTAATAGGACGAGGTGTGACGTTAATAAAACAGTTTTATAAAATACTATATAATACAGAAATAAATCAACATAGTTTTCTCAAACTTTACAAGGTTCTGTTTGTCTCGTCTGTCGTTGTTTTGTTTATACTCTTTGATACGAACACAACATCTATGCGAATAAAACTTCTTTGGTTTAGAGAGAGACATCTATTTTATATTAAATAATTAATTTATAATTAATTAGTAATTTAATTACTCTATTTTTATCTCTATCTTAAAGTTCAGACATCTGGTTTTATCGTGGTGCTGTTGTCTGCTTCCCTGGTAGACGCACGTGTCAGGCATAATTGTCGTATAATCACTAATTGCTGTTGCATCTAATTAATCAGTCGAATAGTCCCCTTCCCACGGCAATGTCAGCTGCACAATTTCAATATTTACACCAAAACTCCACGACAGATGGCGCTGTATGCAGTTTGACACACACCTTCCTAGTTACACCCCTCTCGCGGATAGTTCGCCCGTGACCAGTCAAGCGTTGAAAAACTTTCGCAGTAAAATGACCGTATTTCGGCTCCAACATTTTCACTCCACGAGGCACAAAATGTGAATTTACGCCTATACTGCACGCGCACGCGTGCGTGCGACCACACCCGCGTGTGCGCATCCGTTAGTGGGTGTGTATGTGTGATTTTGTGACTGTAAAAACACGTATTATAGCCGTAAATCCACTATTTGTGCTTTTGGGGGTGAAAAAGTTCAGGCTGAAATACGGCCATTTGGTCGTCAAAGATTTTCCATGCTTGACTGGTCATGGGCGATACTATCCGCGAGAGGGGAGTAAGGAAGTGACGAAGGGAAAGGAATTGTCGCGTCCGTAATGTGCTGGGACATATATGATATCTATTGTAAAACCACCTGGCGCTTTACACGAGTGTTCTCGTTAGTACAACCTAGTTAGCCAGCTCTATACTTTTTCTTCAATTTTATTTTTTTTGAAACTGCGGGGTTTCGACATCCCCCGTTAATTCTTTGCTAA